CACATCAGCCACACTATCAGAGGCTCGTTCACCTGCACATCTACCAATGTGATATGTGCCAGCAATGCCCCTCTGCCATGTACATTGGTCAAACTGGACAGTCTCTACGTAAAAGAATAATGGACACAAATCCCAGACGTCAAGAATTATAACATTCAAAAACCAGTCGGAGAACACTTCAATCTCTCTGGTCACTCGATTACAGACCTAAAAGTTGCAATATTACAACAAAAAGACTTCTAAAACAGACTCCAACGAGAGACTGCTGAATTGGAATTAATTTGCAAACTGGATACAGTTAACTTAGGCTTGAATAGAGACTGGGAGTGGATGGGTCATTACACAAAGTAAAACTATTTCCCCATGTTTATTTCCCCCCACCCCCACCGTTCCTCAGACGTTCTTGTTAACTGCTGGAAATGGCCCACCTTGATTATCACTACAACAGGTTTTCTCACCACCACCACCACCCCGCCCCGCTCTCCTGCTGGTAGTAGCTCATCTTAAGTGATCACTCTCCTTACAGTGTGTATGATAACACCCAGCTGTTCTGTGTGTATATACATCTCCTCACTGTGTTTTCTATTGAATGCATCCGATGAAGTGAGCTGTAAGCTCACGAAAGCTTATGCTCAAATAAATTGGTTAGTCTCTAAGGTGCCACAAGTCCTCCTTTTCTTTTTGCGAATACAGACTAACACAGCTGTTACTCTGAAACCTGTCATTAATGGGACTTGTGCTCCTACATCAATTAGGTGCTTCTAAAAATCCCACCCCTGGACTCTTAATTTCCCTGTGGATCCATTGAGGTTTCTGCCAACTGGGTACAACAATATATTCTCAATCAGGACAGGATTAGTTAAAGTGTAAAAGCGTTTTGAGATCCCCAAGAGTCTGACACTTGTAAAGGTTTAATTCTTTAGTGTAGCTTTTATTGCCCCCTTGCCACTCATTTCAGACTCACTCCCTGTCTGCCCATCACCCGACAGTGCCTTTTATGTTCCTGATATTCAGAGAAGCTCTGATTCTCTCTGAAAGTCACCCTTTATCCTTCTCCAGCCTGGAGTCAGCCCTCATTAAGGGCTAGAATTCAAAGGACAGAAAATGTCCCCTCTCCCCCTCCCTCTCAAATTACCAGCTGAGCTATTCTTTAAGATTCATTTCATACTAAAAACCAAATGAGGTGTTCTCTTTGTATCATTGTTCCTATCATGGGCAGATTAAGGCTAAATCCCCCAAACCTGGGGATGCACTCTCCTTCCCAGCTCCTCCAGATGGATTCTTGCCTTCCTCTCACTTTTGATCTTAGTGGTACAGCATGGGGTTGCTGCCTGATAGCCTGCTTCTTTCTCACAGCTCCATCTGGGGCCCCTTTGAGCTATGGGGTTTCAGGATCTAAGGACCCTGCATTTACCTGTCCCTAGTCTGCCACAGGCTTGACATGATGATTCATTTTTATAAGCACTACAAACACACCCCGAATCTCTCTCACTGACTTTTATGGCAGTTGCATACTGCATTATCCTGATACAATGTGATGGCGCTACCCTGGGGTATTGTGCCAATGGAATTATCACGGTGTTACAGTATTTTGGGCAAATACTTCATGTCATCACTGTCGGCCAAAGCGGAAAGGCACAGCTCAGGCTGTTATTAAATAGACCATCACCCTGGCGTGTGAAGGACGCCTCCAGCAGCAGGACCACTCTACTAACTGCACTCCACCTGTTGTTTTTTAAATACATGAGGATCATAGCCTAATGTGAGGATGAGTAAATAAACACACACCAGCCAGCGTAATACAGTGCTGAGCCATTCATACAAGGTCAGTAAGCCAAGCACCAAGAAAGGGGCATTGAGGGGAGACCAGACCCTAAATCCCTAGAAGTGCATTGGGTACAAAATAGACCTTTAAGAATTTAGCAGGAGGCACACTCTAGTGGTATGAAAGCAGGACCGGGAGGCAGGAACTTCTGAGTTCTAATGCCAACTTTGCCACTGACTCCTCTGTCCTTGAGCAAGTTACTTCTTTGTGCCTTGATTTCCCCCTGAGTAAAATGGGAAAAGGGTGCCTCACAGGAAAGTTGTGAGAATTCATTAGCTAATATTGGTTCCTACTCTGGATGTTTTCATCGTGTGTGTTCAAAATTCTGTATTCAGAGGGTTGTCCTTTTAGGGTCAATTGAGTTAATATTGCCAGTAGCCACACTGCTCTGTTGAGCTTCAGAAAAATGCAAGGAATCTGCAGAGATAGTGCTGTTAATTTTTCTCAGCCCAGTTCAGGCTTTTGTACCTTACAGCCACAGGGCATAAAAAACACCCCTGATCTTATAATGGTTAAGAGGCAGAACTGCAGGATAGCAGTCCTCTCCTCTCAAAGAGGCACTCGTATTGTGGTAGCCTAATCAAATAAGAAAGGGCTTTATTATTCTGTGTCTCATATGGCACCAAACACAAGTTCTGTGGTTCTTTGACTTGAGCTCTCTTTCTGATATATGGCATTTTCTCTGGATTCTCTCACATGTTTTTTGGCATTCTTGCTTCTTCACCAACATCAGTCAAACCTTTGACAAGGGGATGGCAGAAGGCTTTTGATGGCTGTGCTTGTGCATGACACTGGCTGTAGTTCTGTGTTTGTGTCTGAGTGCTAAAGGTCTGTAGCTGACACGCTATTGTGAAAAGGGAAGACACACTATCTTGCTTGCATACTGTAAACTGTTTTGTTTCCTTTTCAGTTTGAGTGGTTTACTGGGATTTTCAGTGTCGGTGTGACATGCTGTAAGGGGAAATTGGCAGGGAGATGCACTGAGTGATTTAACAGTTCTATTCCATCGCTGAACTCTTACGAGTCTAATTTCTGGACCACCAGAAACGTTCTGGTTTTACAAATATTTTGTGGGTGGGACTCTTTGGGTCTAGCTGCTTTGAAACCAACAACGTACATAATACGTGCACACAACCCTTCTATGGGCCTCTGGGAAGCCCACTGAGGCACATCCTGATTCTTAAGCAACAAGGGACCCTGGAATGCAGCAGTCATGTGCAAAGAAGCATCTCTTTCAAGAACCAAAATAAGGCCCTAGTCCTGCAGTTGGGCCCTCAGGGAGCCCCTTTGAAAACAACTGGGGTCTACCTGGGCACAAGACCTGCCAAACTGCATACCCAGGTAAAGTGAAAACAAGGAAGTGGCAAAGACCTGGTTTTGTTCTGGGCAGTCTTTTTAGACTCCTCCCCTAAAGTTGGTTTTATTTGGATAAAGGTCATATTTAAAATAGGTCCTCTACTAATTCTCACTCATAACCAGGAGAGGCATTTCATGTCACCAAATCACAAAAATAAGCAAAGCAGAATTTTATAAAAACCTAGGATACTTCAGCACAAGGATCGCAAAGCAAATTTTTGATGAATTACTCTGACAAGTGCTGTTTAATTTTAGATCAAATCCAAATTTAGCCCAAGGCAATAACCCTCTGAGGTTTAGGTTATCAAGTGGTGGTGCAAATATTTCACATGGCCTGACCTTCATTCATAGCTAAGAGCATTTGGATACGCTTCTACAAATAGCAAAATAACCCTCATACCTACATTTGTAATAGATTTTAAGGCCAGAAGGGACTATGGTGATCAACTTGTCTGATCTCCTGCACAGCACAGGTCATAGGATTTCACCCAGTGATTCCTATTAACAAGGGCCATCTACAGTCATATACCTAGCTAAAGGCACTGGCTCCTATTCTCCCATTCAAATCTTTTGAGGATTAGGGTCCTGATTTATCCAAAGTGTGTAGACAAATCCAAGAAGTGAAAGGATTTCTTAAATACCGTAACTCAGCCTGTGGTGTCAAGCACAGAAAAAAACACCAATCTCTACCTACTGGACCATCAGTCGATAGGGTTCAGTATTCTTTAGATTTGCATCACAACTATTGATGGACTAGGAGAGAAAGGGGTGTATCCTAGATCCCTTTTTCTCTCCTGAAATACAGCATAAGGGGGATCTGGATGGAGTGAGGAGAAAATGGGTTTATAGAAAACCTAGACTATGCAAACCTCATCTTAAATAAATAAATAGAAAAGGCAGGTGGGGGAGGCAAAGCTGAAGTCATCCCCCACTAGATTAAAACAGAAAGCTGCATCCCCTGTCCTACAAATGCCTCTTCAGCGCCAACAGTCTCCAGCATCTTTAAGATGAGCTAGAATGGAAACAGGTAAAGTGGCTGCAGGCAGACTGCTGTCAGCTCAGAAATGGTGTTGGTCTAGTTCAGGGTGGGCTAAGCTAATTGAATTTTGCTTTGCCTAGTCTGTGACAAACTGGGTTATTCTATTTTGTTAAGAGCTAAATCTTATTTAAAGGGGACTTGACTGCTCTGAGCTAAAGTCTCTTCTCAGTTACACTGGGTGTAAAGTGGGGAGCAGAAACTGGCCCTTCTGTTCATCTTCCAAGAGAACATAAATAGGTCACTTTTTTTTTTCTCTCTCATTCCAGTGATGCCAGTTCTTGCTGTTTAAATCCAAAAGGGGTAGAGGTGGTAGTGGTGATTTAAGGCAGAGCAGCTGAAAAGAGAGGCAAGTTGTTAAGCCACGGGAAAGGGAATAAAACCAACAGCCAGCCCAGAACAACACTGGGGGCTATTTGTTTGGGGCCTGAGCTCACCCACTTCCTGCTGCTTTTCACATGTTTGTTGTCACTCACCTACGGAATTTTTTGCGTCTCTCTTTATCCAAGAGATTCCAGGCCCCCACACACCCACCTCTGCTGGCGCTGAAGCGCGTGACTGTCGCTTGCAATGTGCACATGGAAAGAAAATGAAAACTAAGCTTCATTCTCTCATTTCAGATGGTTCGGTTTGTTCCCCCACTCCCACCAACTCCTATTTCTCTCTGTGTCATGCCACGCCACTCTGCTTTCCCTCTTGTGCCTGCATTTAGCCTTTGGGGATGGAAAGAGCTAAGGATATAACCTCTTCTAAAACGGCAGTTTCTACATTTCCCTCTCCCAGCTGCAACCTTGTTGCCTACAACTACAGTCAGTCTGACCAGCACCACAGCCATCGCCACAACCACCATCACCACCGCAGCCACAACCACGAAAACCACGACAACCGTCTCCGGCACTGCAGCCACTACGCAGAGTGCTCCAACAGCCACCACTAGGCGGGAGTTTGGTACTACGCTTCCCCATTTCCTCTACCCCACTAACTGTAGCTGTCACCTATTTCATGTCCGTACTCAGGTTCAAACAACAAGCCGTGGATGGAATTTAACCCAACAAGTGGGGAACTTCTTAGTGGTTTGCGGGTGGCTTAACAAGAAATCAGTGGGAATCTAGGGGTCAAAGCACAGGGGTTTGGGTTCGAATCTAACTCACTGTGCCTCAGTTACTCCATCTTTACAGTGGGGATAATGTCACCCTCCCAGGAGTGGTGTGATTTTAATGAACGTATGCAAAACTTTTTAAATAATTAGGTGGAAGACCATACAGAAGGTCACCAAGTATTATTAAATCTTCTATTACCATCTCAGAAAAGGGATTCTATTATTATTATTATAGAGAATTCCACATCAAGTCAAGCAGAGCAACTGAGCTAGCAGACCCATTATTGTGCATGGGATTCTGTTGGTTTATGCTGACCACTCTCTTTGTAGTGCAATCTAGATCTATAGCCCATGGGAAATTTGGGGAAGTATTTAAAATTGCAGGATGCAGACAAGTTCCATCTTTGGGCCAGGATCAATTTATCATGTGTCTCTGCTGGGAGGACTACATCCTGCATTTACATGGGGATGGACTCTCTAATGTAACAGGATTCTAAATATCCTTAATCTATTGACGGGGAAAATGGAGAGAGGTCTCTGTTGCTTTTTAAAAAAGAAGTTACTGTAATTGCATCTCTGATAGATAGACTGGTACTTACTGATAAATGACTACATTATCATTTGTATTCACTTACCCAAAAAGTGCACTAAGCTTGTGGCAGAAGCTAATACAATCAAAATAGTTCATAGTTAAGACTCAGCTCCCGTAGACAACTGTACAGGTAAGGATCACGTGCAAAAAAATCCCTGTTGTTCCTCTTGAGAGAGGAAAAACATCACACTAATTAGTAATGAAAACAAAGAGGATTCTTTATGGGGGTTGCTAGATGCAGACAGAACCCATGCTTGGGGGGAGGGATAGCTCAGTGGTTTGAGCATTGGCCTGTTGTACCCAGGGTTGTGAGTTCAATCCTTGAGGGGGCCATTTAGGGATCTGGGGCAAAAATTGGGGATTGGTCCTGCTTTGAGCAGGGGGTTGGACTAGATGACCTCCTGAGGTCCCTTCCAACCCTGATATTCTATGATTCTCTCTAGCTCCTAGAGTAGCTAAATGCCTTGTCTACATGATAAAGTTACACCAGTTTAACTCAAGATGTTAAACCAATGCAAACCCCTGTCTATTCATCCACATATCAATTGAGCTGAAATTAGCTAATCACACTGCAATAAGCTACTCTTAAAATGAAGTAAGAACATCCATAAGGGGCTTGGACTGGTTTAACCAGATCAATTTACGTTGAAGAGATGCAACTTTCTCATGCAGACCAGGCCAAAGACAGACTCTGCTGCCTAGTGCCTATGCAGGATTTCCACAACCAAGCAGCATAAAGGGATCTGCTACCAGAAAGGTCTCAGACAAATTACTACATGAGAAATGTTCTCAGTAATTGCAAATAGGCAGTATCACAGAAGCAGTGCGTACTACCACAATACAGAAAAGGTGACTCTGAAAAAGACTCATAGCAACACAACAAGCTGAAGAAATCAGCAGTGTTTGTCTCAAACCACGCACCAGAACATAAGCAGAAAGGTCATGTATTAATGCAGTTACCAGTGTTGTGACAAAGTAATGCACCATTTTTTAAGAGGAGGGAAACAAATTCTGGGCCATCATCTCATGATTTGAAAGTATGTGGGTTTTGTTAGGTTTCCACAAAATGACCAAATCAACATTTTTGCAAGTTTTTGTTTTGTTTTGTTTTGTTTTAAGTGAATCGATTTTCAGCTGAAATGAATTTTGAATTATGAAATTCAAAACTGGAGAACATGTTAAGCTGTATGTCAGAATGCAAACCATTTTAAAGTAAAAAATTGTGAAAATGGGCCATTATCACTAACTCAGCATGAAATGCAGAAACTGCACATTTAAAAAAAAAATGTAAGCCTTTTACAACATTCTTCTGCTTCTGGGAAGTCACTGAATGAGATGAATGGGGTCCAGTATGCTCTAATGTTAGTACAAGAACTCACCCACACAATGATCCTTGAAACATTAACAGTCCTCTCCTATGCTGCCCAAATAACCTCACTGGTGACTGATACTCTGGTTGAGTTTATCTCGCTTTGTAGCAGTCAATAGAAACTGCTGTGTTCTGAAACAGGAACATGTCAAGAAACTCGTCTCTCATTTGACTCCATCCTCTTATTCCTTGGCCATATCCCCAAATTTTACTTGCTACACTCCCAGAATTGTCAGTTCCAGCTGTTCAAAAATCTTGTGCGAGACCCCCGCAAGTCATGAGGATTTTATTTAAATAATAAATGTGGGGCTCTTTTTCGTTTGCCTTTTTGGTTTCAGAACCTTTAGGCTGCACTCGGTGCATGTTTTCAAGCTTTTCTTGGCAAGGGAAAGAAACTCACTTTTGGTTTTAACTGAAAGCTGAAATTCTCTTGCAATCACCTGACTACAGCAGCTGGGCTTTAAAAAAAAAACACCAATATATGTCTACGTGCATGATAAAATGATGGGAGTTAGCAACACTATGCTGCATTGGAACAGCTATGACAGCGTATCACTTGGACCCCAGTGTTGCAAAAACACTTATGTACATGAGTCGTCTCATTGACTTCCATGGGTCTACACACCCACACACATAAAGCTAACCACAAGTATGAGTCTTCACAGGCTTGGGGCCTTGATTGTGATTTGTTGGGGCAGGGTTCCTGCAGCAGTCTCTAGTTACTCCATTTGTCATGGCTCCACATTGTCCATCCAATGGGATTGCACGGCCCTAAAGAATCAGATAAAGAGATGCCCTTTTGCAATCCATTTATATTATGGAAAAATCTTCCATTTTTTAAGAATTAAATTTTTTCTGCTGAGTACAGGAATGGAGTCAGAAATCTCTAGCCTTTACTTTGCTACACCAAAGCCTGTGCAACTGTGTCATGTATTTGTGGCACCTTAGAGACTAACCAATTTATTTGAGCATGAGCTTTCGTGAGCTACAGCTCACTTCATCCGATGAAGTGAGCTGTAGCTCACGAAGCTCATGCTCAAATAAATTGGTGAGCTGTAGCTCACGAAAGCTCATGCTCAAATAAATTGGTTAGTCTCTAAGGTGCCACACGTACTCCTTTTCTTTTTGCGAATACAGACTAACACGGCTGTTACTCTGAAATGTGTCATGTATACATCACAATGTAATTTCTTCTAAGGGCTAGTCTGCACTGGCAACGCTAAAGGGCTGTCGTGGCAGCTCTTTAACACAGATTGTGTGGTCGTGGCAGAGCGCTGGGAGAGAGCTCTCCAGCGCTCTAGAAAACCACCTCCACGAGGGGCGGAGCTCCCAGCGCTGGGGCACTGTCTACACTGGCACTTTACAGCGCTCAGGGGGGTGTTTTTTCACACCCCTGAGCAAGAAAGTTGCAGTGCTGTAAATTGCCAGTTTAGACCAGCCCTAAGTCACTTGCAGGTGCAAGCTACAGTAATAAATTGGTTAGTCTCTAAGGTGCCACAAGTCCTCTTTTTCTTTTTGCGGATACAGACTAACACGGCTGCTACGCTGAAACCTGTCATTTAACATAAAGAGGTGTTTACTCACTCTCCAAAGTAATGTTGACATTCCTCAACTTGAAAGTCACTTGTGTTTTTGCTAGGAACAGCTTGATTGCATTATCCAACATGTAGTTTGCAGACTATTAACATGGAAATGTTCTTGCCCAGTCCCTCCTCTAGATTGTGGTAGTGAGCCCGTGAATTGATGCATGCTTCTGTCACCTTGGGTTAGGCACTCTTTTAGCTTGAGCACAGTAGTTATGATACAGCCATTAGTCTATCAATCGTGTGAGGCAGAGCCTCTCTGAATTTAAGAACGGAGTTACCTAAATACACAGGCTGTGATGCACTCACACTCTTGATTCTAAACTCACCCACAAGGCTGAAGGTTCAGAGTTAAGACGTCAGCCAGGTTCTGAATCTGCCAATGAATAAAACGTGCCTTAGGCAGTGTAGCATACTTAGCTAGGAGGGCATATCCTCCAACTAATGCAAGGGGCTTTAACTTTTATAATTCATAACAACTTTGAAATAGTTTGTCAAACCCAGATGTGAGGTTAAGGTCCATGTGTGTATAATCCAAAGTACTAACACCTGTTCTAACCTGTCCACCAGCCACGAATGGATCATCCATATGGAACGTAAAAGCTTTCACTAACAGTAACTGGGCAAACATCACCTGGAGCCACAATTTTTCTGCTGGAACTGACTTTGTGGTTGAGTATATCACCAGTAAGCATCAGACCGCGTGGAGATACCGCAGGGCTGTTACACCATTAGAGATCCTATAAGGTTTCTCAAGGTTTGAAAGAGCCCCTTTAAGCAATATTAACTAACTGCAGTGTATTGAAACCTACTGTCCAGCCTGTTCCTGGGGGGAAATTGCAAAGGATTCTCTTTGCCACTAAGAATGCATTGGAATTGTGTGTTTTGCCATTCTTCTAAATGCAATTACCTTCTCCTTTCATTTCTTGCAATGGAGGGTTCAGATCCATGCATTCTGAATTAGCAGGGCAAAGGAAGCTGTAAGGGCTGCAGCTTGTCATGAGATTAAGGGCTATAGAAAAAGACCAACCAAATTGGGAACGAATTCTTAAGGAGAGGAAAATGAATACTTTTAATAGATAATCTATGGCACAACAGTAAAAAAAAAAAAAAATGTACCTGCTTTGGAATGAAAAGGGCAGAATCACCTGTGATCAGTTACTCCTGTATAATAGATTCCATTGTCTCATAAAATTACAGGGCTCTATCTGGCCTGGAAATTCAAAGCTGGCACCTGTCAGGGTTTTTTTTTTGTTTTTGTTTTTTAAATATTGCTTTTGTGGTGTCAATAGGCAGATAGTAACGTACACTGTTTGCATCTATTTCTCAAACATTTCATAATGTCTGGTATGAATTTAAACAGTCTTCTAATTCTTGACAGTGATCTAACTTTGTTTACAACACTGTTCTAGAGATGAACTCACATGCTACTTAGAATCCCTTTGATTGCCAGACAGTACCTGTTCCCTCTGTAAGGCTTCCACACCTTTAATTATGAGGCAAAGCAATATTTGCAGTTCACAGTACTGGTTTACGGAAATTAGTTTATCTTCTTCCCTTCTGCATCATACTCCAGAATTTGCAATACTCATCAGGCGCTCAACTCCCTAATTCTTGCTCTTAACATAGTAGAATGCAATGCATTTCTCGGAGCTTCGCGTGCTGGTCTCTTCCATCCCTAGTACTCCCGTTCACTGCAGAGAAATCTTAAACACACACAGCTTGCGCCTAACATGAGGCCAGATGCTGAAGTCCCTCCTCAGGACAGGCTCCAATGGGAGTTGTGCCTGAGTAAGGATTTCAGGATCTGGGATATTCGCATCATCAGATGGTGCCTCCCAAGTCTCCTTTCAGGAAAACTCCCCAGGAGACCTCTTACTGTCGATACCCAAAAGGGTCTAAAGGTGCTCCTATATCTTGGAAAACTGCACTTATTCAGCTGCCATTTGCAAACCGCAGTGGAGTTGAACTGCTCATACAAACGGTAGTGCTGGTTTCCATTTAATTCTTTCAGATTCCCTTGCCACTGGAGCAACCAGATCCCTTCTGTCTTTGGTCAGAAAGGACTCAAAGAGCTTTCCCACCTCTTTATACTAGTGCCAGGCGTCTTACACAGAGGCTGAAAGTTGTCTTGGCTACAGCATATACCACAAGCACCCCTAGAAGGAAGGGCTGTCTGAGCTTGGGTTATTAGACTTTCACCAATCTGTTCATTCTCTGGTAACACAGTCTCACCTACCCATTTAAATTGTCTGCACCCTATGATGTTTCAAGCCAAGGCTACAGTGGGGTATTCACCATGCAGCCAACAGGCTTTTCCATAACTCCTGCCTCAATTTAAATTGGACATTAGTGCTGAGCTGCCATGTAGCATTCCCCTTCCCCTGCTAGACCACCACAGCATTAGGCATTTACCCATTTGCGATACAGGTTGTCCTGTATAATTTTCTATAAGCCCCCAGCAAAAATATACCCTTTTCTCTGCTGAGTGCTGCAGATTTTATTTAAAGGTATAAAATATGCCCCACACATGGTCCCAGGTTCAGTCCTCGTGTATGGCCGGAATTGGGTTTGTTACACATGAACCTATGGACTATCAGCAGCACAAGACCCTGCCCATTTGAGCTGAAGGAGCAGCTTCCCAACTTGCAAGAGGCTCTTTGTGGGCCGACCACAAGCAGGGACACAATCATGCACATCGAGTCAGTCTTTCAAAATGCTTACAACCATCAGCGATTCATTAACCAACACCAGTAGATGTAGATTTCTGTCCTGCAAAGAAAACTCGTGTGCAGATTCTGCTATCAACCCCTTCTTCTCAAAGGCTTGAGAGACAGCTCTAACCCCTGCCCTGTAAGTCAGCAGACTGACTTTATCTGATCAGCGGGAGTAGACAAATTCCAGACCCCTCCTCTGTGAACACACTGCTTTGATTCCCCCAGACACCCAAACCTAAAGACTGTTTAGCAAAAGAGCTCCCCCGGGTTCTAACAATAGAGAGAGGTCTCCTGGGTGGTTACAAAGCCATTTTCAATGCAACAAATGGGGGTGCTATTAAAGCACTGTCATTTACCTGTATCATTGCATTTTCGATATTCCCAAATGGGCAGTAATCACAGACACTGAGGACATTAAAATGTTATGATCCCGGTCCATCAAATTATATTATTTCTGCTCAACAGAGAGGTGTAGCATAATGCAGTCGACACTAATATGTCTGAGCTTCCTGCCGCCTGGTTTTGATGTGAGGTTTCTGTTTCTCAGGTAACAATACAGTGAGATCTATCCCTGTTAAAGCTCAGACCCCTTCCTCCGTGCAGCTGGCTGACCTTACCCCCGGGATGACGTACCAGTTGTGGGTTTTTCCCAAATGGTCTAGCCCCAGCAAAACCTCTTACATAACCTTTACGACAAGCTCAGGTGAGACGGGTTCCAGCCCCGCTGTGCGACACCTTTCCAAGACATTTCATCCCATCCTGAGCTTTACCACTTGTGTGCTGTATCTTCTTTGCTGGGGAGGTTTGGCCATGACCATGCATGGAGCAAATTTCATTCACTCCACTGACATTGTGCCCTCTCTGCCCTTATTATAGCGCTGGCTCAAGAAGCAATAAAATTCCCACAGTCAGCTAACATTGTCTCAACTGCACGTTATGAAAACCAAAATCCCTGGTGCAGCCAATAATGTAACAAGCTCCATTTCAAACAAGGAATCCTACAATAAGGGTAGAGACCATGCGCTTGTCACGCAGCTATGCTTAAAACATTAAGACAGACTCCTGCAAAGGATGCTGCTGGTTACTGCAGGCTTTGTGTTTGCACTTTCACTTGTGTGCTGCTTCTTGTGGTGGTGGCGGTTGTTCTGACACAGCAAAGCGTCTGTGTCTTTATACCTGGGTTATTGCAGGAATGGGTGTTCACACATTCATGACAAGATACGGATGAGGAATAATGCCAGGGGAATGTAATGTTTGTAGAAGGCCCACAGAGGGGGTCACAGAGGGGTATGTGCATAGGACTTTACAGATGCATAAGAAGGCAGGTATAGTACTCCGGGAACAACATGTGTAATTGCATGAGCAATTTTTCCGGGATTATCACCTGACTGCATTTTATAGATGCTAATTATAGGCTTGCTACAGAGCCCACTGAAGCCAATGGAAAGACGCTTATTGACTTCCATGGTTGTTGGATCAGGCCTCGTTTATTTAAAACCTCTGTGTTATCATTCCATGAGTTTTGGTAGAACCATAATAGGGATAACATGGTCAGCCATGGATTTTGTGGCAGGGAGCTATCTCTGTGATGCCTGCTGAAATTTGGCCCTAAATATTTATTTGAAAAACAAACAATAACCAACCTTTATGTAGGACCTTGAAAGCAAAATATAGTGTTCCACAATCTCTCTTTAAGTAGGAAACCCTGAAACAAATTCTGTTTGCACTTGCATCATGCAGTGCTCCAGATGGAGATGCGGAGGAGAATTTGGCCTTTCTGTACCTTATTTGTGAAGTTCAAAGTGTTGGCGTCCTTAACTATATTGAGTTATCCTTATACCATAAGATGCTAACACGACAGATGGAAAATGCTAATATTCGTGCAGCGTCTTTGTATAACAATGCACAACTCTGATAAAATTCTAGCAAGTATACGGTACCATGGAAGAACAGCCTGACCTTGCCTGGGAACTGACTCAGTCTGATCTGCCTCTTTCATCTCTAACCACTATTATCCTGTGAAAAATGGTGAAACCCACACCACAATGTTTCTCTTATCACCATCTTTGTAAAGAATCCTTTAAGGACAGCCTTGGGGGGAGAAGGGTTAGTTTGACTTGGGTTTTTCCTATTTCTATGCTACTTTACATTACGTGATGTACGGAGTACGGGTGTTCCTAGCTAGGGCCATTTTTGTGGCTATACTTTTAGAACTGGAACCTCAAATCCAAAAAACCTTCTAATTTTGAGCATTTTGGCTTCAAGTCCCTAAATCTGAGTTTGCCCCTACAGTTTCAGGTTTTGTTTGGATCCAAAACTGAAAGGAGGCTATTTTCCAGTTCAGATGTGGCCTGGAAGATTTCCAGAACACCTCTGGTTGCCACACGTTAGCCTTGATTTTGTCTCTAATTCTGAATCCCAAACCTAATCCAGATCCCAACTCTATCTCCTTTGCCCCTCTCACTGTTTCTATAAGATGTTCCTATTTTCTTCTTTGTGAATAGCTGTACGTTGCCCATTTTAGACAGACATATCTCTTTACCCGCCTGCCTCTGTACCCCTTCTTGCGGGGCTCTCGTGCATAGGAACCACAAGGGAAATCAAGGTTGAGGGAATCCAAAAAGCAAGTAGTTTGCTTGATTTTGATATGCACTATACCTTTATTTTTGTTATTCCAAAATCCACACTTTCTATATTTGAAGGGCTGCTTATTATATTGGCATTAAAATTTGAGGAGTCACCATCTTTATTCCTCTGATAAAGTCCAGATGACTACCCTAGCCCTATCACCATGGGATCCACAAAGCTATCAATCGTTTATGCATGCATGCATGCTGCAGTTTCATTTTTACCCAGGCTGGATGCTACTGACGTGAGGGTTGAGAGTCCACTGCCCCATCATGTGCCATCATTAATGTTTTATGACAAGAAAGCACTGTCCATTTTTTTTGGTTATGTTTTGCAAATATCTATTCTAGAGGTTGCTGCTTATTTATCTGCATTCAAATTGAAATAGCCCACCTGCACCGCGGCTGCAGTATACTGCACTCTGACTTCTCTGCCGACGTTATTGAGCTTTTGGTTAATCAGAACAGTGCTTTCCAGTTGTAAGTGATGCTTAACTACAAATGTAGCTTGATTTAAAAAGAAGGGGGGGTTTCCTTTTTTCACCCCTTAAAAACGTGGGAAGGAGGATGCAATTTTCTCAAAACGTACCAGTTACATTGGTACCTAGAAACCAACAGTGTATAAAAATCAAACTAGCACTGGATACATATTTTTGCTGCATGTCTTTCTGTGCGCAGTATTTTATATCTCTCTATATACATATGTATGCGTACGTATGAACACACACCGTTGTTTACAAAAATGATCAAATACGGTAGCTTACAGTACTGTTAGTACAACATGAGGGCTCATTGCCATACAATAAACATAGTATTTTTCATAGAGTATAATTATAGGCTGAGATTTTCAAGACCACCTAAAGGGTTTGGATGCTCAATCCCTGTTGATTTTAATGGGAACTGGTTTCCTGGTTCTGGGCAGCTTTGAAAATTCTACCCACAGTTAACCCCACATGCAAATTTTTGGAGCAAATTAGCTGTCATACAAGCAACAGTACAGTGAAGCCGACTGTAAAGACCACCTACAACATGAAGCACAGTTACCTCTTTAAACCCAGTCCAAGATTCAGCCTTCAGAGAAATGGCACGTGAGTTTTGCTAATCGCCTGGTCAGTGGTTTATGACCGATTTCGCTGTCAGTTCATAAGCTTGTCATTTTTAGTCAAAGCATGTTTTGAATCTCAGTTTATAATTAATTCAGGAAATCCAAAGTTAGTGCAACGGTGTTTCAAATTGATGCTTCTTGGATTACACGGCTTCTTTCTTTTATTTAGCTAAATTGCTGGCCATGCATAAAGGCAGATCAAAACATCCTGTCAAATTACAGCCACCCATCTATTCCCTTTTTTTCCAAACGCTGTGATCAGTCACTCTGTTTACACTAAATATAGGTTTGCTGTAGGTGTAATTTTGGCATCGTGATTTTTTGGGGGGTAGGGAAGGCAATTATCAGCCTACTTTGACAGTAGCCCAGTTCCACTATCCTAGTGAAAGACCCTCTGTTTAAAACACTCCCTGCTGTGGCAAATCTGGCCTCATTCCACAGTGGCATGATGCTTTTCTTTCAGGCGGTTTTTGCTTTCAGTTAAGAACCACTCCATTTCTCAGAATTGTTTCCCTGTAGAAATCCCATCCTGTTAGCATTGCTAATACAATTTCCTTTCATTTCAAAGCTCTCCAGTATAATTTTACTTCCCCCACCTCCACCACGAACATTGTTACTCTAATCCAATTCTCAACTCCATTAAATTATCTCACCCCTTTCATTATAAAAACTTGCATCTTTAAAGAGGGTTCAGCTCCCAGAGAGTGGGTCCTTTAGTAGAAAAGGGGCAGGCACAGAATACCAGCTGACAGTGTTAAAGGGGAAAATGTTTAAGTTGGCAGCTGACTCCCATTGAAAGTCAATGAAAACTGGACACCTATGCTACAGAAGGTTTGCCAGTAGAGCTATACCAGCAAACCCTCCTAGTGAAGATGCAGCTTCCACTGATAAAGTGCTATTTCCGGTAGATCTTATACCGGTTTGCCAAATGAAATCAGCTATAAGTGTGTCTACACTAGGGTTTTGGCAGTATAATAATGGTTTTTTAAAAAAAGCAGCCCGCTCAACCAACACTACCATATCAGCAAAAGTTCCAGGATACAGCTGGCCTGACTCCCTTTTGTGCATTGAAAATCTCCTCCTAAAACTCTTGGGTCAGATCCTCAGCTGGCATAAATCAGTAATAGAGCTATGCCAATTCACCGTGCAAGGTTCTAACTCCATTTTCATTAATAAAAACTCCTTTTTTCTTTTTCCCCCTTGAACAATCCTAATCTTTGTAGCAGTTTAGCTATAAACATCCACGCACTAACATCAGGATTTCAATTTGATCAGGGTTCAATTTTTAGGGAAAGCATGAATTGTCATGGCAAAAAAAAAAAAAAAAAAGATATGAAATATCCTAAAGTTGTGTTTAAAGGTATGGAACGCCCTGGCTCTGGAATGTTTAAAATTAAACCCATTTTTGACGGTGTTGACCAGTATACCATGCCTCTTTTAGATAGGCTTTTATGTGTAGGTTTCAGAGTGTATTTATATGGTGTTACTTTGTATAGTATCTCTAAAAACATCATGTTACCATGTTTGAGCACAATCCAAAAATGATCAGTTTGGGGAATTTATTAAGATGAAATGAAATTAAAGTCTGATTCTGTGGCTTTTGCTCATATGAGTAGTCCCATGGACTTCAACTGGAACACTGATGCAAGCAAGGCTTGCAGAACCTAATCAGGGATCATCCTAAGAGAACTTCCCAACAAAACATGCTTTTCCCCATGTCATTCATATTCTCCATCTTCATCTAAAGTAGCTGGTATAACATCAGCACTATTTGGCAGATCCAGTCCTCCGTGACCACTTGTCATGAAAGAATTGGGTGATTCTAAAATGTGGGTAAATTCAAAGTTCTCAGGCATTATTTGCTGCTGACATTCTGAATAAGGACATTAGATGTGGTTTGTCACCGCATGCACACAGTTCCCATTCACCTTACTTTCAATTGCATGCATTCAAGTGGAAATACCCAAAGGGAAAATATCCTTCCCACCCCTCCTGACTTGAAAGCCATGGCATCTGATTCTGCAGTCCTTGATGGAATTTTGGCCAGAGTAAAAAATTGCAGGATGGGGCCCACATGAGCAAAAGTGTCATTGCACCGAGTGTAACTGTGTGAAGGTTGGTCCAAAGTAGGGTTGATTAAGGATCTAACTGTATGAGTGTGTTTCACTGCTTACAACGATCTGTGCCTATGGAAGATGGTACTGAGCACTAGATAAGCTGGGTGGTTGACTGGCTCTGAGCCCTTGTTCACATTAGAATTTGATATTGTTTACCTAACTAGGTGATATTTAACAAATGTAGCATATTAAGGATTCTGGTACTGGTTCCTCATAGCCAATGTCAGATGAACAAAAAACAAAACCAATCTAGTTGAGGTTGTTTTCTTTATCACAAGAGAATTAACAGTAGGCGTTTGCTATCTTAGTCCTGTCAGAATGAACCCTAGCAAATTCTGGCTCAGACTTTTGAACCCATTGGAGTCAGACCCTGGCAGTCCCCCATCTCTCTTGCCATGAATATCTATATTTACACTGCAGTCTGGTTACATTTAGCCAGCTAATGCACTGAAGGTTATTCTCTGCTCTGTTTTGTTGAATACCAGGTGCATGTCAATTAGGAGAGCCAGAAAATAGCAGAGAGTTGCTATTTATAGGCTAGAGCTTTGCTTGTCCTACTGTGTTTAGGAGCTGCAAATAACCATTGCCAGCATGTTGTAGAAGGCAGCTCAGGGACTGGAGTTAAGTGTTGGGATACTTTTACTTGCTTAATATTAAATTCTGATGGATGGCCTTGTCGTATGAAATAAGCTGTGTAATAGAGAGCCCCCTCCAGCAAGGAGACATATCATCTTTCAGGGCTCTAGGGCCAAGTCTCCTCTTCTTGGAATCCAAGGGTTGCTCATCAAGGATCTGCCATCAGGGATCTCCACTAGGAAATCTGCCTAGGAAAATTCTCGGGTGCCAGATATAGCTCCCTGACCTCCCCACTGGGGTGGACAGGGTCAACCGAGTTCAGCACCTGTTGTGGCAAAGCCTGGTCACCTCGGGTTGGTCACGTTTCCTCACATCAGCGGGGATGGCTCTTTTCAACCCGGGCCGGCAGGGAATTTGACACTTTATCAAACAAGATAGGTTGTACCACCTAGGTCCTGGTCTATACTCCGGCATTGCCCAGAGCGAGCAAAAGTGGTGGAGCTACACCAGAGCTGCCTTCTAAGCAAGAGTTAAAAGTAAGGGTAGCCTGATTAATGGAAACTCTGGCTTGTCCTAGCTTAAGAACCAGTGCTGGAGCCACTATTCCAAATGTTGACCTGGGGCTATTCCCTGAGAGGTTCTCCCCAACTCTGCCACTGCATGCACAGAGCACAGCAGAGTCAGGGAACTTTCTATATTTGGTGCTTTTGTTCTAACTGCATGCCAGGAAAATAAAGACTTTTAGATGCTTCTTGGATGAATTTCACACCCCATTTATGAAGGCCGCCTGAAATATAGCTTTCTGCTTACTTCCCATCACTGTAAATGGATGATCAAATCTGTTACCCAGCTTCTTTTGCCTTCATTTTTTATACACCCTTCATTAGTCTGTACTAAATCTATTTTATTTATGTTGGTTGTGATCCTCTGCCATGCACAGCTCCGGCCAGAATTTTGAGTTGACAAAGCGTTTTAAAAAAAAACAACATAAAAAACACAGCCCATATTCCCATGTAATCTCAGATACCAAACTGATCAATACATACATACACACACACACAATGCAGAAACGTGGTTGTAGAGATGGATCATTTGTGAACTGGTGAACTGGGTTTTCCTAGCCAATTGGCTCAGTGTTTTTAATTCTCTCTGCTGTTAGATTCTGTCATTTTTAACTTGTTTTCTTGACATTCCTCTTACCAGCTTATACCAAGAACCACGTGGACATTGCAACCCAGGGCTGGTTTATTGGGCTGATGTGTGCCATTGCGCTTCTGGTTCTGATTTTGTTGATAGTGTGCTTCATTAAGAGAAGCAGAGGCGGGAAATATCCAGGTAAGAGCAATATCCAGCACAATCTTATTCACGCTGTTGAGTTTAAAGAAACCCCTACGCTTTCTGGAGCTAAGTCAGCTTTACTGATCTCCGCTACACACTTCTGAGTCAAAGTGTTTTTATTCCTCCCTGGTATGAAAATTAGTGGCACCAGAAAGAATTTCAGTTAATTAAAGGTGAAGTGAGCGCTCTGTGCTATGCTTGCTATGCGGGAGAAAGGCTGCATAGTTCATTGCTCTTAAGAGTGACCTGACATCTGCTCAACAAATAGACTTCTCTCTCTCTCTCTCTCTGCAAAAGGATCTCTTCCTGCAAACATCTCACTGAAATTTTCCCAAGGCAGAGACCGGACTTAGGAGAATTCACCCAACGATGCCCCCTCTATAGCCATTTGAGTTCCTAAGCCTTGGTATCCAAGCATTGTGGTAACGCTCAGTACCCGATTCTGCAAGCCCCTCCGTATGTAGGACTCCTATTCCAGTCAACACAGCCCTGCAGCCAGAAAGCTTGCAGGATTGGGTCCCAAGTAAGATACAGGGCAAATATCCTGCAGTTGCTTCACAGGAGATAAGAGAGACAGACGTGAGGTCAAATTGCAGTATTAATAATGGCCTGTGTTCTGATCCCAATGCAGATAATTCCTTCCAGGGAAGAGAATAATACTGAACCCTGGGGCTAATGCAGGGCACACTGAGCTGCTCAGATGAAAGGCTACTGTGCATGAAGTACAATAGTCAGCATTTGCCAACAGCTGCCCCACAGTAATATTATCAGATCATTACTTCCACTATACTTAGAATGGGATGTATCTGTTTACTGTATGGCAACAGCTGGCAAATGTTGACTCTTTAAATTGCTTCATCTATTCACCACTGGAGCCTCATTAGAAAGAATTAAAACCACGAGCATAATAACTGTATCTCATGTACCACTTTAAACCCACGCTTAAGGCTTGATAAAGAAACGGATACAATTGGCACCCTTAAACTCCTGTGGCGTCCCACTCTCGATAAAATCTTTCACGGTATTTGCAACATTCCTCATTCTGGGTCTAATTCACCTTTGTTACACTCCACTTTTACATCTGCAAAATCAAGGGAGTTGTGCCAGAGTAGCAGTGGCGAATCAGGCGCCCCTAACGCAGGAAATAACCGCCAATACCAGTGGCAAGGTAGATACTGCAGTGCAAGATTTTAATAGAACCCACGGTAGACCCAGGTGAATCCAGGGGTCCCTTCCTGGCTGGGATTGTGTGATACTTCTCTCCACTGACCCCTACAGAGTTATTCTTTGATTTCTAAATAAACCCATCCCAATAGAATGACAGCTCTTTTGGAGATTAAAAACATGAAATGATTTATAATGACTTTCCCAGTACATTTGCCAAGGGCTCTTGATCAGATGTGTAAGAGCATTGTCTCACTCAGTTTCCATGTCAGTTACCGTCCTCGCTTTGTATTCTCCTCATCCACATTCCTTAGCAAAAAACAAAAAACAAACACAAACACAACACACACCCTGGAAAGGAGGAGGTCCTTGAAACTATGCAGCTAGCTTTTTAAAATCTCCCATATTTAACTTAACGTTTGCTTGTTGGTGTGCTTATCACAGTGCGTGAAAAAGTTGAAGTCCTAGATCATGAAGACCACAAAGTAGATGATCCGTCATTTGACTACAGGTATGTCTCTACTTGGCATGTGTGTTCAGTAAGCCACTTCCATCCCACCACCTGCCCGACTCCAGTCTCACCCCTTCTGTTCTCCCCCGCCCCACATAACTATCACCAAGGCACTGCACTCTCATGAATTACTTTTCACCTTCCTTTTCCTCCTGTCTCCCACTGTGCAAGATCTCTGCAAAAGGAGACATTCCTGCCTAAATATCCAGAAAAGTAACCAAACTAGAATGTTCTAAAAAGGTTTCCTTCTTTCTCCACCCTCTGCGTTCTTGAGGCAGAGAATGCTCTGACAACAATCACTGGGGACAAGATCGTTCCCCTTGGGAGGAAACTGGCCTCAGACACACACAGTAACACACCAAGAGCCAAAGATCCTGAGACAGTGCAAGGCTATTACAGCCACTTGACACTCTGTTGCTCAGTCTTTTTCTTAGCATTAGTGCGCTATCGAGAAAAGAAATGTCCCAAAGCTGTTCAAATAAGCCCTCAGAGCCTGTAAGAACTCCATCATACATACAGGGGGACCTGTATGGAATCAGATGCCAGACCTTACCCTAGAGGATCCCAACAAACTCCATTGAAATATGCCTTTCACTGCCTAACAGACACTGCTCCAAGAGCTGTGACCTACCCCACATCTTATCAGCCCCTCTCAAACTCAATGGCATCCTTGAAAGAACAACAGCCATGTCTCCATCCAGCCACTACAATACTTTAACAAGGGGCTAAGTGAGTTTCTGTGGCTGCGTGTGGTTTTGTCTTCACAGCTCCACATTGGTTTCCTCATTGCTTCCACAGAAAGAAAAGGGGTAAAATTGCCAGCTCTTTAATTTTCTTGCCTTTTAGAGTATTAGTAACGGGGATTTACAGCATCCCTGCTCCTTCGAGGGTCTGTAGCTTGTTTTTACATTATGATTTTGTTTTACTTAAGTAACTGCTGTGAACCTTTCCATAGAGGTTTGATCCAAAGCCCACTGCCCTCAATGGGAATCTTTCCCCTGATTTAATGAGTTTTTAGATTAAGCTCTGTGCTATTGCACAATATTCCCAGCATTACTAGATGATAAACTGAAATACCAAAGATGGGAAGGACTTATTTAAAATGCAGAGCAAGCTACGATGCTTTGGTATCAAGCTGCACAGGACTGTGGCGCCCCAGACAGCTATATGAATAAAAGGCAAAATAACTGGATCCTTCTGGACAATCATGTTTGTGTCATTTAGTAGCAAGTTGCTACAGTAATTATGTTCCAGTTGTGGCTGTTTTTCTCAAGAGGATGCCATGTGACCAGAGCTGTTTCATTTTCTGCATGGCATATGCAAAGATACAGGATGCAAATAAACCCCCAGCAAAAACCGAAAAGCTAACACATTGGAGGGTCAGACAAATAGAAACTCCTCCTCCACACTCTCAATCCCTTGCATGTTTGAGCTGTGGATTTAGCACTCTCATGCTACGCCATTGAAACGTCAGTTTGTACCAACTGGTTGCTTAGGCTGTCTTCTGTCGCTTCAGCCACAGTCTGTGCCCCCAATAGCTGAATGTTCATTTTGCAAGAGCAGCCTGCTCTGTGCATGCCTGCACTCTGACGCCAAGCCGTCCGTCAAGCACCCAGTGGTGAGGTTCTGACAAGATAATCACATGGAAGGGACTTGCTTTGTTTATCACCTTCTGCCAGTGCTAAGAAGCCAGCCCAGCTGGCTCAGTGGGACACAGCAGGACTGGAACACAATATGGTTTATTAGCCTGCAGGCAGCCAGAGTGAATTTATTCACTCTGAGAGGCTGTTCTGCTGGTGGGAAATAGTTATTGTGATAAGGGCAAGCTCACCTTGACAGAATAGCTTACGAAAGTTCATTGCAATTTACATTAATGACTGTAACTTATTTTCCATGCACTGTGTACAAGTCCGAGGATATCCCTGACCAGGACTTGAGAACAATAAAAGAGCGACCAGCCCCTAGCAGGTCCATTTCAGGTTTCACCCTGGGCCCAGTACACATGGGACGGACTTTGGGAATTTCATCAGTGTTGCTGAAACCCTGTGGAGTGCAGACACGATCCATAACGTTTATAGCTGTACATCTCACTGTTGGGTCTCGGTCACTTTAATCTAAGTAGTCACTCAGTGACCTGGCACATGCCCTTATAGGTCGCTTCCTTTTGGAACTGCTTAGCGGTATGAGCTGCAGGTTTGAAATATCTGAACACTCAGGAAAGAGCTACTGATTCAAATAATGGCAAATTCAATTCCAGCTTGTGGTTCTTTCAGCCAAGACCTTAACAACTCAAGCTCCGGTTTTTTCTGCGTGGACAGGCACCCTATGGCACTTTATATAAAGAGCAGGGGTTTGCCCTGGAACCTGAGGCCAAAATTTTCCCTTATTTCCACCCCCAAGGGGTATATATAAAGCATTTATGAAGCACTATTGACTATAAGGCACTGTGGCTATTTAAAATGTGATCACCACCAGCAGATGGAAGAGGAAAACCCAGCCCTTAGCTTGGCTGCCATCCTACCACAACAGGAGCAGTTCTGTAGGGTTCCATTTACTGCCCAAGCACCGTCCAGGCAGCAGGACATTTGTCAGGACAATGGGAAGGGATTGGAAATGCCTCTTTATTGCTAATATGTGGTAGCCCCCATCACATGCTGGGTGCTTTCCAAATGCTAAAGGACAGCCCCTGTTCTGAAGAGCTTGTCATCGAAAGGCAGAGGTCAGAGGGAGGGAAATGACAGACAACTTAGATGCAATTTATATATATATATATAAAAAAACAGCATAGTCGGTTGGTTGATTTGGGGAGTTTTTTGCTACCTCAGTGGAGGCTGTCTCCTTATAGTGTATCCTAGCGGTCATCTACCTCTTGGCACTATCAAGGAGTTTAACTGGGGCAGATTCTACCCCAGAGCGAGTAGTGACTTCGGCTCTGTCTTCATTACAAACGCTGCTGGAGCACTTCAGTGTAAAAACTCACTCCAGCAACGGGAGGGGCTCTCCCATCGCTGTAGCTAATCCTCCTCCCCGAGAAGCAGTGGGTAGGTCTACAGAAGAATTCTTCCTTTGACCTAGCGCCATCTACACCTGGGGTTAGGTCAGCTTAACTCCGTCACTCAAGGGTGTGGATTTTTCACACCCCAAGTGACATAGTTGGGTCGACCTAACTTTTTAGCGTAGGCCTGGCCTGCGTTATGTCAGCTTGTGGAAGAAGGTTCCACTCAGTATACGAGCATCAGAATCTGGCTTTAGATTAGCACTGGTGTAAAGTTCTGCGGTGCTCAAATCACAGGCATCTTGGAAGTGTCTGAAGTATCATTACTAGCACAACCATGCAGTGCAGAACCAGACATGACATTACTATCTTCTAGCTGGATTCTCTTCCGGAGAATCAGACCACAATGTCCCAAGGTTACAGAGAAGGGTGGGGGAAACAAGGCCTCCCTTAAGCCAACAGAGAGGAAGGTGAACCCGAAGAATTGGTATGAAGTCTGGTTGGCTGATTAAGATTCAGAATGGTTGTGATGTTAGGCTGAAGGAAGGTAACAAATAGAGTTTAAGAGGAGGACAGAATTTTTGCTGACGGGAGTTCTTTGGTTTCCCTCCACACCGCCACATAAGCATGTCTGATGTGCGCTCATCCGTAATGGCCTGTGCATGCTGCTTTCAAATCTCCGCAGCCTGTAATTACGAGATACTGTCGCATCTCTCGAGTCCGCTGAAAGAGCAATGGTCACCCTGTGCAGAGGCTGAGCTAAGGAGCCTGTTTTCAAAGTGGGAGACCATTATCTTTGGACAACGTTCAGTGCCAGTGCCCATGCCTCATTCTACCAAATGATTCAAATGGAACTTAGCGCTGTGAAGGGGGAAGTTGGCTGGAGAGCTCAGGGAGCCGGAGCCTTTCACCTGTAGGGCTCCAGTTCACTTCCAGCCCAGATTGACTGACTGAAAGACGTGATGCTCTCTGCCAGCTGTTCAGTGACCTACGTGTAAAGAGTTCAGTAGGTCTCATTTCAGTTCCCTGCAACAAGGTGTTGATATCACAAGTAGTGCCAGCCCGTCCACTGCAGCCAGTCTACAGCAGAGACCAGGAACGGAATGGGCCATAAGATAGAACTGTCCTCTTATCCCTAGAGGAGGTCCAACTGGGCCTTTCTGGGAGGAGCCTGTGGTCCCTGGACCAGCGTGGGTTACCTTCAGGTTCCAGGGTCGTCAGTGCACCACCTTTCACCAGCACGACATTCAACTGAAAAACCAGAGAGATGAAAGGGGGCAAAAAAATGGGAGAGCCACTCGGCTAAGCCTCAGGCAGCTTATTCTAGATGCTGCCACTGACAGCAGTGACTGCAGGCCATCCAGTTGGCTCCCAGGACAGGCACACCCTGTAGCACATCTGCAAATAATCTGTTTTCTGACCGCCTGGTACTTTCCTTTATTGGGTATTAACTTTTGAGGGGGAGCCAGTGAGGTTCAGCCAGCTAGGAATGTAACACCAATTCCATTTGGTATAACGAGGCAATTGCCCCTCGAGGAACGCAGTGGTGTTTCAGCGTCTGCCCCTTTAAATGCATACCTCATCATATCTCTCTCTGATCCGGCTCTTTCTGCTTCTCTCTGTTTTATTCCCATTCTTTCTTCTCCTTTCCACCTTGTCTATCCACATGGACCATGAAGGTCTCTTGAAAGGTAGGACCCGTGTGCTGCCAGAAGTCCGGCACATTTTAGCTTTTTCTTTGAGCCGTTTGTTTCTTTCATAGCTGAAATACACCTTACCCTTTGCCCCTCCACCTAACATATTAAACAACAGTCATCTCCCTCACACCAAGATTTTGGGCACTTCATGTCCAGCAAGTTGCATTCCTCCTGAAAAACATTCAATGAGTTGGGAGCACCTATCAGAACCAGTTAGATTCTAAGGGCCCAATCTGCAACCTACATTTAAGTGACTAATCCTTATTCATGCAAAAAATCCAGCTAGCTTCAGTGGGACCAATTGCACAATTAAGGACTACTCATGTGGGCAAGGGTTGTGGGATCAGGTTCTGAGGGAGATGAATTAAGAATCCTCAAGTCAGCTGCTTGCATGATGCACCTCTGATGTACTGACCACAAGGGGCACTCAGTCTATGCACTATGCGGAGGAGCTGAGGGAGTGAAGACAACAAAACCACAAGCAAAAAGATATTAGGCCAAAACAATCAGTCAGTTATACATATTGAACAGGATCCTAGAAATCCCACCTCTCTCTCTCTGACCCACGTCACTCATGATAACGCTTCCCAAATGGTGCTGAACTGGGTGCTCTTATTTTCTAATCCACACATCCAAAACCATGAAAGGCCATTTTAATGGGATTAAGTTGCATCAACGTGCTGACAACTCTACACATCACGTTCCTAATGCACTAACAGGACACAATAGAACCAAGAGAGAGGCAAAGCCAGAGGGTGAGTTTGGAAAACTTCCTTGCCCTGGCATCTGGCCCTGCAAACTCCACCTGAGAAAAACTTTTGATCCAGATCCCATTTTATCAGACCCCACCCCAAACCTTGGGAAAGGAGATTTCAGATCAACTGTTCTGGTTATTGCCACTCTCTGCTTATGTTATTGGGCTTTCTAAAGGGTGGCACTGCTTGCAGATTTAAATTCTTAACAAAGAGCTGCTTGTAAAGCTACCATGTTAATTCTTAGTGTGATGCCAATTAACACAAGGCCGCAAGCATTGCTTTTGTTGTGCTACTGGATTTACAAAGTGCTGTTACAAGGTAATACGATTGAGAGCGGCAAAATGCTCTGTGGGACACCGAATCCCTCCTACATTACGGGGCACTGAAACTATCACTTACATGGCATAGGATAGATTAAATGACCTAATAGGTCATTCCCATTGCTAAGCAGCGCTAAGCTCTGTGGGCCAAATGGCAGCTCCCAATGTCTTCATAGGAGGAGGAAGTTGACTGTCAAATGCTACAATCTGAATCTAAATTCTCCGGGGCAGGAATGGAAAGGAAAAGTGAAAATAGCCCTCAATGGTTTATCTCCCATCTCTGTATTGAAATGAGTTGCGTTGTGACCCAAGCTTTGCCCAACGCTGTACCTGCAGAGCAACCATTTATCACTCAGTTGTTGCTTTGATGGCTGTAGAACATTACAAAAGAGCCCTGAGGTCTTTGAGCTTATTTGCTACAAGTAAGGAAGGTGCGTTGTTTCCATTGAGAGCACAATACCCTAAGCATAGCATAAATGCTGCTTTCAATGAGGTACTGACCGAATGTAGGAAAGCTACAGAAAATTCCTCATTTTTCTTTTAAATGCTGGATCTTTTTTTAGATTGATGACTCAGCGAAAGCAACTTTGGACCATTCCAAATTTTTCCTACATTTTAGCTAGACAGAGACCGACCACACACACACACACACACGTAGGCCAAGAAATAATGTTGCTTATTGTGTAGCAAATTTTGAAGCAGACGGTTTTGAGTTTGAAAAGACCCACTAAGAGAAAAATTAAATTTGACATATAGGATTTCAGTAGAGGTAGCATATGGACTGGACATATGAGATCAAATATGGACACATTATCAACGGATATGAAAGGCATCTCTTTCGCATATTGTAGTCCACTCACATATTATTCATGTGTATGAGACACCCGTCCTTACTATAAAGGGGAAATGCAACTTTTCCCCTGATTTTTGAGAGATATGTCTCTTAAAAGTGTTTTTTCTATGGGCTTTATTCATCTTTCTGGTAGAAAACAATATAGTTTCATAGTGTAAAATGTCAGAAGTGTTAAGGATGAAGACTCAAACGGATTAGCCTCAAATATGAGATGAAATTACTGGAAATAAACTCCGAGAGGTAAATTTCCACAGGTACTTGAGAGATGCACAGATTTTGGCACCCTCCCTGTACTCCCCCCCTGCAGTACTTTGAAAAAACCAACCCCCACTTGCATATGGGCGTGGGTATCTAAAGGACAGATTATATCTGTGCAAGAGAATCTGAAAGTGAAACTCACTAGACACAAAAGTGGAACCAACTATTTTACTGTCCAAGGATGACTTAAATGCAAAAAGTAAATAGAGAGGGTAAACAATTAAAAGGGAAAAAACTGTAGTGTTCTTCCCGATTGATCGATCAAAGGGTTATCTATAAGCTAGGTAAGGACATTTGGTTTCCTGAACAAAAACAGAATAAAAACGAGGCTGGGTTTTCAAAAAAGCCAAGTGTGCGAACTGCCCATGCAGCTGGGTGCCTGACAGAGGCAGGCAATTACTGCAGCTGCATTTGCATAGCAGGGAAATTGTGACTAGCCATTCGCAATCACAGCAGCGATTGCAAACGAATGGCTGATTCGTTTGCACATTTGAATCTTGTAAGCAAACACACTGGATTTTATTTGAGAACCCAGCCCGCAGTTTTTAACAGTGTCCCTTAAACACCACCCTGCCAATTCTTACTGTGTGTGTCTGTCTTCTGCCACCCAGCGATGAAGACAACAAGGAACCGCCAGGCAGCCACACCTCCTTGGACGGCACAATAAAGCAGGAAAGCGACGATAGCTTGGTGGATTATGGAGAGGGGGGCGAAGGGCAGTTCAACGAGGATGGCTCCTTTATTGGCCAATACACAGTCAAGAAGGACAAGGAGGAGACAGAAGGCAACGAGAGTTCAGAAGCCACATCCCCCGTCAATGCTATCTACTCCCTTGCGTAACAAAATACAATGAAACCACAACGACAAATATATACATAGCCGTGGTGGTCAAACCGCCGCCGCCAACAGGAACCCGAGTATGGAAAAAAAAAAAAAATCCCAACGAAAAAAGATCAAACAAAACCAGAACAGTCCAGGTGGTCACCAGTGCCATCCTATCCTGAGCAAACAAGTGAACAGCAAGGATTTATGGGGTGCTAATGTGTTGTAGCTGTAGCTGAAATCTGAGCTGAACCAAAGGGGCCAGAGAAAGAGCAGGACACACAGGTTCTACACCCCGGGCTTCAGAACTTGGACCGCCAACCCCTCCCCATGTCTTCTTTTTTAGATAACACAGCACTCTCTTTGGTTACTCGTTTACACTGCTGAGGTTTCTGGTTTTTTTCCTTTTTAGGTTCAAAGTTATTTTTTGGAGAAAGGTCCCAAATCAGAGAAAGGGGGATTGGGTCATGAATCCACACAAGGAAGCAGGAGGGGTCAATCAGCTAGGAATAGAAACAACATGTTACTGTATTAACAGGACGTTCTCTGTGACTGTAGTTGAGATGGACGTCTTTACAGCCAGCACCTCGCTCATAACACCGCCAAAACAAGTCAGCACCACAAAGACCCTTCCTGTAAGGTGAAGCAGCATTGCGCTGAACCCCAGAGGAAGACTTTGCTCATGAGGTTTTCATTGGTGCAGTTGGATTTGTGTTATACCTCTTATTAATGCTAAACATCCACATTGGGTTCTGTCACCAAGGAACCGATGGGTGAGGTTACCCTGCATCCATGCTACTTAGCAAAGTATTTTTGTTTTTTTTTAAGGGATGTTGGGGAAGAAATTTAGGACTTGATTAAAGACAGACAGATGCAGCTCACCACCTGACTCCAAGCGACTGCTAGCCACTGGATAATTATGTGGGAGATTCTTATTTTATTCTTATTTTATAAGAGAAAAATATAACCCCACAAACCCCACTACTTTTAAGGAAGAACCCATAAATCAGTGGAAAGCAAAGAGGAAGGACAAGTATTAACATACGAAAAAGGGACTAAGGGTTGATATCATATATCCAATCATGAAAAGATGACACCTAACAGCCGTGGGGGGTGGGTAAAAGAACAAATTATATTAACCCAGAATTGCAGCTGCTGCTAAGCTCCTTGAAAGTTTCAGGGATGCCCAGGCCTGTAAATGGCAAAGACACAGGACATGGGATCTCCTTCCACATTATTCTGATCAATAGGGTGTGATTCAGTTTCTCAGTTAAAAATCTCCTCTTAGGCTGGTGCAGCGGCCTTTTGCCCTTCGATCAATCACCCCACAGGAGAAATTACCATGTGCTTAAGGCTCCATTTTGTTATTTACATATCAAGACAACTCAGTTCAGCTAACCTGCTAATACACTGTAATAACATGTCTTTATAGGAAGTTCTATCATTACAATGCTCTTCCATATGCCTTATACAGCTTCAAACTTCCCCTGAAGTTTAATAAACTAAGAATATTCACCCACAGCTTAAGCCCCTGACGTGATGGTCTCTAATCTGTCAGTCCACTAGGAATAAGGATGCTTGTGCAGCCCTTCCATCTGAGACAGCATGGATCATTGTAGAAGACAGAGGTTTATAACAGACCGTACTTAGTGGCAAATGCCATTTGTCTTCTCCCCATCTCGTGCACATGTGAAACCAAAGGTACCTTTGCTGAGAGAGATCAGATGACTTCAGACAGTTTCACAGTTATACAACGTTAGGCAGGGTTTTTATTTTTTACTGAAGAAGATGGTTCTGTTGGACATAATGGACTAAATGCTGTAGGATTCATACAATTGTTTTAGCTTTCAAGCTATTTTGCTACAAAGACATCTTGCTCACAAAGATGTTTTTACTAAAAGGGATAGTTTAGACACATTTGCCACATTCTCTAAAGCTGCCATGATATCTAACAGCTCAACTATTTTGCATTTCTAAGAAAGAAACCCAAACTAGGTCCATTCCTGTGCAACATACTCAGTCAAACAAGCAAAGAAACAGGAGGGAGAGTTTAGCTGTGGCAAAGAAGTTGGATGCACCATGTGATTCAGAATGGGTCATAGACTGCTGATAAAAGACTGCCAAAGCTGCCTCCTATGCATAGGGTTACTCCTGCTAACATGGTCTAAGCCACAAAGGAAATCACCTGCCACGGTAGTTAACTTTTTCCTTTAGAGGGAGAAAAATCATAACCATCACTCTGTTACTGTCAATGTAAATGCATTACAGCCAGAGGCTTAATTTTAATGGACTCAGCTGGCATTGTTCCATAGCGAGGGGAGACCCTAAACCACTCACTTCTAGGGAAGAAAGCAGCCACCTCTGAGCAGTTTATAACACACGAGGCCAAATTTCAAATAATGCTGAGTTTAAGATGGTGTGGTGTATACATCTGGGATCATCATCAAAAGTGATGCTGTACATGCAGGCCAAATCACCAGTGTAACAGCCTCCCCACCCACCCAGGATCATCACAGGGAACGTACCTAGGAACCACCAAATCACAGGCCTCTGTCATTTGATCTAAAGGAGTGCCTCCATTGGCGGGTAGCAATAGGAAGTTCTTATCCTCCCTCTGGACCAGCCACTAGAGGGGAATGAGACACCATTGGCCACCGTATTACACCTACACCCTATGGAGCTGCAAGGGTGCAGTGAGAGCAGCCTGGCCTGTGATTCACACCCCCTATGTTCTGTCCCCTGTGAATCACTTTACTGAGCCACCTACATAGCATCTGTTTGGAAAAGGAAAGAGAAGTGCTTCGCTTTGTGGCTATTTCACATATTGCTCACTCAAGCCACCATAACATTCCTAGATCAGCAGAGACTAGAGAAGGTTACCTCAAAAAGAGCAGAGGAGTCAGGTTCCTTACACTCAGCATACTGACCCCTGACACCGTGTTGCTTGTTCCTTGAGTCACCACCAAAGGAAAAAAGATGCCTATGTAGGATGAAAGGGACAAAATGTATCCCTGGTTTAACTCCACTCAAGTCAATGTTACACCAGAAATTGATCTGAATCTAAAAAAGAAAGCCAAGCACAGAGCACACATCCTTTATGGAGAAGTCCTATATGATTTACCAAGGATGAAAATAAGGGTCTGTAGAAATGGAGTCGGGATCTCTGGAAATTGAAAAGCTATAGGATACAGAAGAACAGTGGTATGGGGTTGTTTTTTTTTTGGTTTTTTTTGAAGCAGCCTCTAAAATAGGGGTTATCCACCTTTTACTTTCTGAGGCCAACATGCTGTCAAAACGCCATGGCCCAGCTGGGCCACTGCACCTGCTTTCCTGCATATAAATGCCAGGGTCGGCGTTAAGGGGTAGCAAGCAGGGCACTTGCCTGGGGCCCCACACTACAAGGGAGACCACAAAGCTAGTTGCTCAGGCTTTGGCTTCAGCCCCAGGTGGTGGGGCTCAGGGCCCCTGGCTGCAGTCCTGTGCAGCGGGGCTTCAGCTTTCTGCCCTGGGCTCGAGCAAGTCTAATACCGGCCATGCTTGGTGGACCACCTGAAACCTGCCCGTGGTCCCCACAGGGGGCCCCGGACACCTGGTTGAGAACCACTGCTCTAGAGTTTTGCAGCAGGCACACATAATTCTCTGTTAAATCTAGAGAGAGGTTGACAAACTTACACAGAGCATAACATTTCCTATTATATTCCATAGGTCTTTTCCATAAAGGTTTATTAGGTGTTTCCCTGTAGTCATTGTGTACTAGTAGCTAACTCATGGCTTGCAAAGCCATCTGACTGAAGGCTAATTAGAATTTTGGTGGCTAAGTTAATACGTGTGCATGACTTCTACCAGACCTTACTGTAAAATTACCACAGTGGCCCTAGAGCTATTAACACACAATGCCTGCATCAAATATGTTTTTAGTTGGGTAGATTATAAGCTATTAAAACAACCTATGGAGTTGTACTGCAGGAGACATATTGCAGGAAACAGTCATGCTCTGTCTCCCCCGAGATGTACTGGATGAGCTAATAGGTCTTGTTCATCTATAATACCTGGCTGTCCAAAGAGGTCTGTGCAATGCAAACAATCCAGATTCTCTCTCTTTCGCCCTCATGGGGGATTCATCCAAGTCACCGGGCTGGTCTGTGCACCATGGCCTCAAGTAGGCAGAGTCCATCAGCTACGGAGCACTGTCAGGTGCCCAGGGCATATGCTGCGCTGTGCAGCCAGAGGTGCACACTGCTCCGATTCTGAAGGTCAACCAAGCACCCCACCCTGTGGTGTGTCTGACCAACTGAGCCTTCCCGCCTGTGATGCCAAAAGGACATAGAAAGAACATTGCACTGTCCACTCCTCTAAGCATGCCCTCTGCTGGTGAAGGCAGCATTTCCCCTAAACAATCTGGTTCTCCATCCAGACGCAGGCAGCGCTTTCGACTGCCCTATCACTCAAGCTACGTCCTGCATTGTTAAACTGGCAGCTCTTTCGTTAAAATCTGTAATTGGTGGAAGACACGAGGAACTAGACAAAGGCCTGAACCAAAATCTCAGATCTGAGCACTCTCAGAAGCCTGGAAAGAGTCCACATCTGGATCCAGACTTAGCAAGTCTGGACTCTCTTCTGTAACATGGCGAACTAAAACCATATATATATTTTGGGGACGCTTAGCTATACACTCCATTGCTAGAGACCCACTGTACCCAAAGCCAGGGAAAAAGCTCTGTAGCTGTTTGAAATGTGGCCTTAGGAGAGCAAGCTGCTGTTTCTTCTCCAGCAGATCCTAAACACAGCAATGTGCATAAATAATGAGGGAGAAACAGGGGCTACATATGCATGATATTGAGGCTGCTCCTAATTTTCCTTAGAGACAGTAAACATGGGAGTTGGATCGATTGTGTTATGGAATAACAGCTCACACTCTTGAAATCCTGATTTCAGAAATGCTATTGAAGTCTAAATTGCCTGGAAGCTACCTAGGTCATCCCACTCCTCACACCCACACATTTCCCCCTTCCCGTATTTCGACCCTGCAAAAAATGACCTGGAGGTCAACTGTTCTACTAAGTTTCTGACCCCAGAGATTCATCGGCCTATTATGAATTGTGTTTAAGTGACTAAACAAGATGCAACCCATTACTTGGTAGAGACATCCTGCTGTAGATATTCTGGGGGGACTGGGACAGATAAGAAGGTGGGGGAAGCATTATTGATCTTCATTAGGATTTTGTCTCTTGTTACATGCTTTACCTGACCAGCAGCACTCAGTCGACCCATCGTGGCCTTTTCCCATCCACGCTAGCAGCAGTCCTGACCCGGGAAGAATTCTGAGGCACTGAATTCATTTCCTGGAATGTAGCCAGATGTGAAGGGCGTGTCCTAGCACAGCAGTGATTGCCACCTGTAACAACGTGCATTGCACCAGGTTAATTCTGTGCTAGCAGCAAAAGATTTCAGTGAAGCAATAAAAAAATAAAACCTTGTAAAAATGAAAAACCTTTTTTGTTCCATGCATTACAACAAACCACTTTATTACAGGAAATAATAATGCTTTTCCAATTCTTAAAAACTCCACTATATCAGTGGCTTTCCCTTTGCCCAGCAATGCCCGTCTCTCCACGTGTTCTTTTTAATTGGGCATCATTCTCAGATTGTGATGTCAATTGCAGTCTGAACCTGTGTCGAATCTGCAAAACAGATTTCTTCCTTTGCACAACTGAGTTTTAAACATTCATTTCCACAGCTAGTGTTGGAAAGAAAACATTGGACTACTCTGGTTTTCAATTTTTTGTTTTGTTTTTCATTTGTAAATATTTAACCCCCATCTCTGTCTAAAACCTCCTGGTCATTCTAATACATTCTACATATTTATTTACCTTTTTAAAAAAGAAAACAATTATTTTGTGTTAATCTACTTTCCCCCCCAGTGATAAATGCATATCTGAGGCTGTATAGAAAGGCTTACAGCAAGACGATAGAGAAATGTTTAATATATGGACTTATACACGGACTGCATGAGCAACGAAAAAGGCCAAAATATCCAGTTATCTTTCTTTGGGGGAAAAGGGGGGGAGAATCGCTGTAAAAACTTGATTTTTTGTATAGAGAACACTAAACATATAATAAAAACATTGTTCAAAACTGAAGCTGAGCCTGAGATCTGTTTCCATCCCACTCCAAAGGGGAAACATGGCCCCCATTATGGCTCTGATGTTGCTCAATAAGGATCAGATTGTTACCTGGGGTCGGGGAGTGTGTATAAGAGAGCATAAAGTGCCCCTTATTCCCCTGCACTCTCTACCTTTATTGCTGGTAATAAGAATACCACCTAGCTCTTCTATAGTGCTTTTCATCAGTAGAACTCAAACTGTTTTATGAAGCAGGTCAGTGTCATTAGCCCCAGTCTAGAGAAGGAGAAACTGAGGCACAGAGTGCGGGAAGTAATTTGCCAAAGACTAGCCAGCTGGTCAGTAACAGATCTGGGAATAGAATCCAGATCCTCCTGAAGCTCAATCCCGTGCTTGGTCTAGCAGGCCACCCTGCCTACCGGAGTAGATGCACTCTCCACAGGGCCACTTCTCTCCTTCCCAAGCAAAGAGAGCAAGCAAGCACGCACAGGGAAATCCCATCCCCCACAATGTTCCAGCTGGGCTAGCATGGCAGGGAAAGCAATCTGCACTAAGCAGAGAGCTAGCATGGGGTACTTCCCTCATGCAGCAAGGAGAAACCAGGGACCGGCTAACACTTCTGAATTGCGCAGCAGGTCTGCATTTCAAACAGGGGGTGATATACCCACGTTGGCTCAGATCAAGCTAGCATACTAAAAATGGAGTGTGGCCACAGCGGTGCGAGCCGCAGGAGGGGCTAGCCACCCTGAATATATGTCTAGCATCTTGGAAAGGTATGGCCTGGAAGCAGCTAGCCTCTCTGCCACTCGCATTGAGCTATTGTGCTAAAAGTACCTTAGTCACGGCAGTGCGAGGAGCACGGGGATGTCCCCTTCAGCTGGGCATCCCAGGCTTGACTTGCAGACATACCCACAATCTGCTCCTTGGACAGTGAAACATGACAAAGCTACAACTGCGCCTTAAAGACGGAACTGCGTCACCCCTCATCCTATTGACTAGTGCCTCATCTCACGGGCAGTACCAGGGATTGCAGTGAGACTTGCAGTACCCTTAGGTTCAGCTCAGGAGGCGCGAAGGGGGCCTAACTGGACCCTATGTTACTAGGGCAGGCGAACTGTTCTATTTGACGAGGTGGGTGACCGTATTAGGACAGCCACACGTCTTTGGTGGATTTGGGGGGCACCATGCCAGAGGCTGTTGAGATTCCATCAGCCAAAAACATCTGCTGCTGTAACCCGCTGTGCCAGGCACGGAAGCCATGACCAAAACAATGTGATGCGCTGCTGGCTGAAGACCCCTCCTAGTCCCTTTAATGCCTAGGTCACTGCTGTGCCTGAGAACGAAACGCATAACAGAACGCACACGGGAAGCTCCACATCACGTTGTGTGGCTTATGTTACGTGGACAACCTGAAGGACCATCAGCGTCGTCCTTGTGCTGGAGAGCGGCACGGCTACAGACGGGCAAACCTCATGCTCGCCCCGAATGCTCCCATCCAGGGGTGCTGCAAGTACAGGTTTAGCAACACTGCTCCCTGCCTTTCTGCCCTGTCAGGGTGGTGTTTGCAGGATGCTTTCCCTTCGCAGACAGAAGAAAGTTACAGCACAGGGAAGTCATTGATGATCCACAACTGAACGGATTACCCCGGACATATTAGCTACTGGGAGAGCAGGGCCCGGGGGATGGTAAATCTGTATGGGCACCAGGGATGGCTTGGATTAAATTCCACCTCCCATCTGCCCTTCCGGAAAATTCCATTAACAGATGTTGAAGCCAACAGATTGGAAGGATCCCAGTCCTTTTGAGAACGGGCATTCGCCACAGTGCTGCTCTCTTCAAATTCTTTCACATGCAGCTGTTGCAGCCCTCGGGCAATTTCCTTTTACTTGAACGGGTTACTAGCTGCCCACTGACTGAAGTTTTGGAGGAACGGACAATTCATTCCAGGTTATTGGGAAGATGGTAGAATGGGGCTCTTTAGTCAGATTGCAGGGCTCAATCACTTTCAGAGCATCAGAACTTTCCCCTGGCACTCATGAGAGGAGTGTCCATAGGCTAAAGCCAGGAGTGCTGTTCCTTGATGATTTGGGGTTGGGAGCAGGGATGGGGGGAGGCACAGGAGGCCCCGTAAGAACTCTGTTGTACCAGCTTGGTCTATACTGGGGAATTTGCCCCAGTTCCCACCACCAGGATAGCTGCAAATCTCTAACATGGACAGACAAAGATTGCAATTTGCACTGGTTCCACCCACCCCAATTTCAAAATGTGATCATCACTGGTGCAAATAGCAACTTTGCAGTAAAGGTTTGAGAGTTTACACCGGTGTAGCTGCTCCAATGGCTGGAATCCCTAGTACACCAAAGGCCTCAGGGACGTTTGCAAACTGCACCTCGCCTGGAGGCTTGACAAGTGTATCTCTCCCTGGATGGCAAAAGCTTTTCCTGTGCTGTCTTTTTTAATACACTTGTTGGTATTTTTGGTTTAAATGGAAGGAAAAAACCTCAGCCCTGTTCTCGGAGGACAGGCATCCGCACCTCAGCAACCACCACAGCTAAGTCCCTCTGCTGGGCTCAGCAGAAGCCAAGGAAAGAAAGGGGTATTGAAATTTAACTCTCCATTCACCCCTGGGGTGGTGGGTTTCTCCAGAAGAGCAGTGAGGCATGTGGCCTGGGTGGTGCAGTGCAGGGGAACCTTGCTCTGCAGTTCCCAAAGCTGGAATAGTTCTGTGGATTTAAAAAAAAACAAAAAACTGCCCTCTTATGTGCAGGGCCCAGCACAATGGGACCCCACTCTCAACTGGGACCTTTAAGTGCTACCACAATATAAATAATAATAAAATAACTTCAGTCCCCAGGGTTACCAAGCCAGCTTCCAGCCTGTCTCAGTTTCACCCTCAATCATAGCAACAGCACAGGAAAGGAAATGTCCATTGCTCCTATAGTCACTGCTGTCCCTCATTAAGGGCCCAGTCCCGCAGTCCTCAGTAAAGACTCCCACTGAAGTCACCTATTGTAGGACTGAGCTCTGGCTGGTTTGTCTGACAAAGATGGAGGAGGGTGGGCTGACTATCCTGCGTGTGTGGTTACTATCCACCAAGACATGGATGGAGCGGTCAACCACGTGGCAACCCCCTTTGGCCAAAGGCAGAGTCTTTTCTTTGAGCGGAAATCACTGCACAATGTTTATTTGCACAGTGTGGACAATAAAAAGTCTTATTTATGGTGCTCGAGTCCCACCGGCATGGTAAGGATATGTATACTTTGTATGTTATGCTAGCAGCATGAGCATCAGAATTCCCAGCTTCCATAACTGGCTCATGAAATATTATTGTTGGTAAAACTTGGCAGAGAAGACAGATCCGGAAAAAAATATAAATACATACATAAAACAAAACGGCACGACAAAGTTTCCTCATTGTATGTGTCCTGGAGAAAAAGCTACCTGTACTCATGCACATGTAGGCAGTGGCTGATTTTTCAGAAAGATTCATGCCATAAATCAGAGGGAAGGATCAAGCGCTAGAGCAATAAGCCGCTTATGGACACATAAGAAGATGCTGTCTGGCACTTGCCCAATTTACAGCAGTTTTTGTTTTCAAAGTTTTAACAATTCCCAAGTGCTTCAGTCCTGCATTGTATGGAATGAGAGCCTACAACATGCAGGGCCAGGTCCTCCACTGGTGTAAATGGGTGGGGCTTGGCTGCCTTCAATGACTTTCTCCAGGATAGAGGACTGGGGCCAGCCCATATAATGCGAGATTATAGCGTTTTGAAGACAAAACTATATGAAGCATGGTGACAACACAGAACATAGCAGGAAGCTTTTATCAAAACTTTCCCATCATCATTAATTGTCCTAATCGCTCCCTCCCGTCCTAAACGGGTAGGAATACTAGGCATAGTACCATATTGAAACAGACCAGCCTAGGTGTCTGCCATCTTTTCTCTGGTGAGAAGTCTCAGGTCAATGCCAAAATGCAATGTGCCTACCGGTATTTATGCAGTAGCTTGCCACAAGGGGAAATTACTTCCCGATCCAAGCAGGTGAATATTTACACCCTGAAGTATGAGGATTAAGAGCCTCTCTCATTTTATCCCAACTGCGTATGTATTTTGTAGCTGGGCATTTCCTCACATTTGTGTGCCCGTCTTTAGTTCCTTAACATTATTTCAAAATCATTTTTGTAATATTTGAATATCTACAATATTCCCCTCTTATGGGCAAACATTCACGGATCCTAGGTCTTTATTGCACACGTGCACAGTAGTGCATTCGTGTTTAGGGGGTGTGGGTTCTCATGCTAAATGTTCTGTCAGCTTTTCGTACTGTATCAATCCAAACAAGAATGCAAGTTCCTCAGGGAATGTCTCACACCGCATTTGTAAAGTGACACACACTCTTTTGGCCTCTTATAAACAATGAGTAATAGTTTGGGCATTACTGTGTAAAAGACAGTGGATCCTTTTAGCAGCTTTGTGGCTTGCTCAAGTATTCACTGAAATGGATGTGATCAGGCCATTTAGAAAGCTCAATCCATCCTTTGTTATCCACTAAATTGACCCCCGTGTTTTTCCAGGCAAAGCAGCGTACACGCTGGCCAAGACTGTCAAGTGACTACACTGACTCCAGCACCTCTATTTTCAGAAACACTGTAAAAGGCCTTATTTACTGTGGACAGGAGCTCAGCGCTCTCTGAAAAGTGGAGCTCTTTAAGGTGTCACAGTTTGAGTGCTGTCTCAGGATGGGCTGGCCCTTTAAGGGATGCAGGCTCAGCCCTTCCTGTGCCCAGTTAGCCCCATCTGGGAGACAGCTAAGGCGAGGTGGTGGCCCTGCAAGTCACCAGGTCCTCAGTTAAAAAGCAGGCAAACAGCTCAGTCAGGAAGGGACCAGCAGGGATATGCCAGGTCAGGGGAAAGGATCTGGGAGGCAGGGCCGGCTCCAGGCACCAGCGAAGGAAGCAGGTGTCTGGGGCGGCCAATAGACAGGGGTGGCACTCCATGCGTTATTGGGGCTACACA